CCAGCTCCATCACAGTCTGACAGAGGCTGCTCCTCCTCCCTCCTCTGACTCTGAGCCTCAAGCCATCACAGCAATGGTATCACCATGCTGAGGGCTGGATCAACACAGGGGTTTTGCAGAAAAGTGGCTTCCACAGCCATCTCAAAAGTAGCAGTGAAATGGAGTCAATAACCATCATTCTCTCATGGGCTCAGAGCAGTAAATGCAAGGCCTGAAATATTAAACATCCTTGTGAGGCTGAAGATTCTTGGCCAAATATCATAGATACACCTGAAGTTTAACCCACCTCTAAATATTACACCAGGAGTCACAAGACATAACAACTTACTTGCCAAAAACAAGCTATTCTGCATAAGTACCTTTTGCTGCATTATAAAAAACGCAAAAGTGAGAGTACATTTTCTCTGGCAGGAACACATTTGCATTGAAGTGCATCTCCCTCTCTTCCCTCTGTGTACACCATCCTTCCACCTGACAACAAAAACCACTGCAGCACTGAAAGCCCCTCTTCACAGAGCACTACTTAATGCTCAGATGTTTAAGCCTTTCAGTTCCTCCTCTCCCTCCAAAAAGCCTTCTCTCACAGCTCACCTCTTGAAAGGGAAAAACCAAGGAGCACAGCAGTGCTCCCAGCACCACCTAAACCTGCTCCAATTTCTGTCAGATCCTGCAGCTTCCCAGCTCCAAGCCACAAAGAGCCCATCCTGCAGTTCACAAAGCTCCAACAAGGGACTCAGAAGCCTCTTCCCTCCACACATGAATGACTCTGCACAAAAACAATGCTTCAGAAAATTATATCACTTGTTGTTAACAAATAACATCTCCAAGTTTCATGTAGGATATGCATTTGCTGCCGAGGAGACAACAGAATTGACCCAAATGTACAGGGGCAAACCATGACAGGAACAACCCTCTAAGGACTGCTCTACTTCCACATGGCCAAGGGAATATGCACAAAACCAAAAAAGCTCCTGCAGAAAACTGAGGTTCAGAAGTGCCCACTGAGACTGAAAATCTGATGCAGCTGTTTGGGATGCAAAATGTGGAGACAAGTGCTGCTCATCACTCAGTGTTACAGAAAGTTGAACAGACAAGAAGAACCAGAAGCAAAAAGCCTCTTCACAACTCTCTAAGGGGGGTAACTGCTGCTCCCTTAGAACTGAGGTGGGAATTTCCTCTCTTCCCACTTCATGAAGTTGCCTCTCATATTTCAGAGTTTTTGTGGTGGCCAAGTGTGAACACTGCACTGATGATCCCTCCAATAGCCAGAGCTGAGAACACAGCACACTATTACACAGCCAGCTAAACCTCTGCCTGGAACATTTATCACAAACCCAAACTACAAAAAATAAAAAATAGTTGGATGCAAAACACAGACAGTGTGAGGGCCATGTGCCATTTCTATAGGATGGTTGTTTCATTGTGCTGAGAAATAAAATGCTCACACAAGGTTGGAAAACACTTGTCTACTAATTCCTGCTAGCCATAAAGGACAAGAACAGCAGTAGCACTCAAGAATTCTCAGTGCACCACAAAGATGATAATTTACAAGTCTTAAAGCATGACACCCTTTGACTGCTGAGGAATAGCCTGATGAGAAACAGCTGGGACCTTGAGTAAGCCAGGCTTGTCAGAAAAGATGCTCCTTTCAAACCCAGCCTTGAGGTGGGGTTACACAGCTCTGCATAAAATGATAGATTGCCACTTTGAAGGCACCAGGCTAAATGTAATCATAATAAAATGTCTCTCAAAGAAGCCCCTGACCAGCAAAAAAATTAGAGGATAAAAACAGGTATCAGTCTTGCATCTGAACAATGTAGTCCTGAGCTTAATAGCAGGTGAAAAGCAAATGACAGTCTAAGGATCACAACCCAGATATGCTTTAAAAAAAAAATACTGCAAAGCACAAAACGATCCTGTGGGAACAACCCTGGGACAAATGAAGCTCTCATAAAAGCACAGAAATTTACAGAAGCACTTCTGTTCTGTTCCTCTGCCAATAACAGCAAAACATTGAAGAGAACCTCAGAGAGACCACAGCATTTAATGCACTGCAGTGTCTGTGTGAGGCAATGCAAGCACTGCCAACACGAGCTGCACACCTGACATCAGTGCTGACCTTGCAGAATGCACTCTGAGCACAATGGAGAAAACCTGAGCTCTACAACAGCAAGAGAAAAGGGTCACAGGAACACCTAAGGAGACACAAAGCAAACCTGTAAAGATCTCTCAAGCATAAGCATGGCCACAATTTAGAATCCATGTTTACAGAAGGGAACTACCATGTTAACCTTGCCCATCTACAAACACAGTAAGTAACAGGTAAATCCACACACTGCCACACAGATGTGGGTATGGAGATGGGCCTTGAACACTTCAGTGCACCACCAGGTACAGTACAAAAGCCAGTGGTCATCTCAACTTCTCCAATCCTGAAATTAGATTCAGGATTTAGTGGCAGGTACAATTCTCCCCTTCCTATCCACTATCCATACCCAGATGAGGACAGAAATTATGTGAACAGAAGTTCTGCAGGAAACTTGGCACTTTGCAATAAGATCAATAGATCCACATGCAGCAGTAATGGACAACAAGGAAATGGTTTCTGCTTTCCCAGTAGCAAGAAAATAAAAAAGGTCTTAACCAGGTAAAGCTTTATTGTCTGGATGAGGAAAACTCTGAACACCACCTCTGAAAATTCATGGGAAAGCAAGGAAAAAGGGAGATTTTAATCATTTAAATGCTTTCAGAATATGTAATTAAAGCTTTCTCAAGTTACAAGATGAAAACTGGACTGGCATGATTTTCAAGTTCAAGAAACATTTAGGTGCATTTTACCTTTATCAAAGCTCATTCAGAAGTTGGTTTTCATTAAAATTATAAGGATGCAATGAAAAAAAGCCCCAAGCCCAAGTTATTCATTCAAGCATACAAAAAACAGGACTATCATAACTGAAGACAATCGGCAGAAACAAAGCCTCTTACAACAGCCCATTTTCTGATCCTTGATATTCATACAGCTCCATCAATCAAAATAAAAATCTAGGTCATCAGTATTTCCAGCCAGGATGCAGGGAAAAACCAGCACATCTTAGGAAACAAAGATTTTCTGCAAAGGATGCAGCATATCTGGTAAAGCTTCTGACAAGCACTTTTGGAAAAACTTTAATCCTTTCCTACTCCACCCCAAATACTAGATCATTCTAACTTCAACATCTCTGCATATGCCCTGAAATCAAAGGAAGAAGGACAAAGCAGTATTTTTCTGCCCAAAAGAATCCTGGGCTGACAGAAAATTTTAATATATACACCACTCTAAATTCCATATTTTATATACATTTTTTATTCTTTCATACTCTTATTCTATCTTTTACATAAATTTTTCTAAATGGACTGTCACACACCCACCCACCAATATTTGCAAAATAACATATCTGCCACAAAGGACTGGCTCAGAGTCAGTAAAGATATTCTCACAATTGAGATTTCAGCCAGAGCATCACAAATACAGTTTTACCATCCAAATCTGCCCTGTGAGAGATTTTGTGAAATAAATTGCTATTTTCTTGTCTTTAAATACAAGCAAAGGATCTCAGCATAGAATCCACTGACACCCACGGAGAAGATGAAGAATTTCAGATGTTACCCAAGACAAAGATACTGCCTAAAACTCTTGTTTCTGGGACATCAGTTATACTGCAAAAGATGAATAACATATCAAAAGAGAGGGAAGGGATTACCAAGGGTTGGGGGCTCCAGTCCTTTGAAAAGGAAGGAGAGCAGGGAAGGAGCACCAGCCATGGCTCAGAGCATCTGCCAGGGAGAAAAGAGGGGCTAAGTCACCCCACTGGCCACTGGATGAGACTCATCCTTCCCCAGGACCTCCCCACCACCCTGATGAGGAGGGGACCACCAAGGCCAAGGGCTGGAAGCAAAACCAGGCTCCCCTTGAGCAGAGTTAAGAGCAGGGTATCTAAAGTTCCTACACAGGTAAGGGGGTTGAGCAGAGTTAAGAACCTGCACACAGTTCCAGCAGGGCACCTAAAGTTCCTACACAGGTAAGGGGGTATCCCAACCAAGGAAACTTCCAGGACAGTTTTACCCTGACTTGGTTCTTCATGTGTTTTAAAGGGACACTGACATGTTGGCCCTGGACATTTGGAATAAGTGTTTTCATCTGCTACTAGGGAACACCTCAGGTCATGCCAAGCAGCACAATCAAGATTCCTGGTTTTTTGGTCCACTTGTTCCTCTGATTTCTTCTGGTGTTTTACTAGACAACCACAGCCAGCAAGCTACTGGTAAGCCCCAAAAGGTCTGGTTTCACCACCAAAGTCAGTCTTGGGCAAGGTCTCATCTGCCACTTTGCTGGAAAAGTGATTCTAGTGGAAAGCTCATGGCCTAAGGACAGCAAGGGAACACCCAGAGCTTTGCAGCAGTTTCACTCCTGCTCCTTGACTCACTCTCAGTCCCTACCCTGACCACTGGCATGGAACAGAAATACTGAAATATAACCTGCATCCAAATGCAGTTCTGTGGGAGCATTCTCTTGCAGCTTGCAGTTCCATGGGGAGACAGAAGCCAAGCACTAAAAAAGTCAAAGCCAACACACAGGCATGGTAGCAGGGGAAGGAGAAAGAGGCAGGTACACTGACTTGGCAGTGCAATGAGGAAAAAGAGTCTCAACAGACCTGGAAGAGCAGCAAAACAGGGCCAAAAGGCAGAAGCACATCCAAAACAATTTTCAGTGCTCACAGAATGTTTAACCTCATTTCTGGCAACTGGGAGGCTGTGTTATGAACCATATGCACTACAGAGTGAGAGTCTATATCAATACTATCTCTACATCAATACTGACATATTTGTATTAAGATTTGCCAACTACATTTCTCAAAAATAACCATAAGAAGAGCTTCTTGCCCTTGACCTATCACTCTAATGGGATCAAGCACACCTGGCCTATGCACAACCAAGAGCCCAAGAGTGTTTCAATGACTTACATGACACCTTGCAGGACTTTTTGGGGGTCGAGATCAAACAATCTATCGACATAGTGGCGGCTGCTGGCTGTGACCTCCTGCAGAGAGAGAGCAAACAATTGCAAAAGTTTATATCAATCCACACAATGCAGCAGCAAGTGTAAAAAACTTCCCAGGCAAGAGGCAGAGAACCCACAGAATTGTATTTAAACGTGCAGTGTGTTACTGCTGGGCAACATCACACAAAGATAACCCTGTGCTCAAGTGTAATCTAGAGAAGATGAGGTGCTTAATGTAGATAACAACGTGGTAAGTGTCAAAGCAAGTTAACAGAGAGCTATTTATGAACTGCAGTTATTAGCACTGCCTTGAATCACATTTTTTTTTGTGTTTAATTGCTATATAGAATAAAAATTAATTCCTGGAAGAAAAAGTTTCAAAGAGCAGTTAATGTTGCTCAAGAACCATACCCACAAACAAGCTCTCCAAAAGAAGGAAGCTCATAACAAGACATTTTTCTGTAACTTACTTTGTCTCAACATAGCTACATTTCAGAGCCTGTGCCACAGACCTTCAATGGGACAGCAGCACAGTATTCCCCACAACATTCTCATGGTGCTGTATAACACAAAGAGAATTCTCTTCTCAGCAACAGGACCGTGCTTGTAAGCTACACACTTATGCACCACTGATTTGTTATTCCTTTTGAGAAGATCCAAAGTCAGAGATGGCAAGCATTCCAAAATACAAGGGTGGGAAAGGGGAAGGGAATTTTCCCTCCAGGTTCTCAGGAACACTTGCCAAGATATGTTGCCATTATCTCACCTTCTTTTTTTTTTCCTTTTCACCAACTCTTTTCATTAAGCTTTGCCCATTTTTTCCTTATGAGTTTTCCTTGAGAGAAGGTCTAAGAGTTGAAAACTCCTCCTTACTTTAACAAATATCTGCTATGGGGTTGAATCTAATCCTGCTTCCCCATGCTGATGTCAAGAGGCATCGTCAGCTTCTTGCCTGTGGTCTCACATCACAGAGAAGAATCATCTAGAGGCAGCAAGGCTCCTTTGTCTCCAGGAACACTGTTAAATTATGCCACATAAGTCCTACAGATACACTTCAACAGTGTAACCAAAGACAGTATTTCTGAGAACAGCAATGGACTTCTAGCTACCTGACCTATGTATTTACACGTAAAACTCTTCTAGACTTCAAAGAACCCGTAGCTATTTGATTTTAAAATACCCTGATATCCTGGCTTCCACCCCATTAGCTAAAAAGTCTGGAATATGTAGAAGTGTATCCGTATGCAGGCAGTCCGCTCAAAAAAAAAAAAAAAAAAAAAGCCAGTTTATCGACATAATCAATTTCACGGAACTCTTAACCAACATGAATTTTTCAGGAAACTGAAGGAAAAGCGCCAACCCTCTGCTCTTGCGGCAGCACCAGGCTGCACCTTTTGCATCGCTACTCGCAGCACCGGTGCGATGCAGCAGGACCGCTGTGCGCCCTGGGCCGTCCCCGGGGAGGGGAAGGGAAGGCGGCTGTCACAGCTCCCAGCACGGCGGCTCCTCCCTGCCGCAGGAGAGCCCCGGTTCCGGCAGCGGCACAGCCCCCGAGCCGGGGCGGGCTGCGAGCGCGCCCGGGAGCCCCTGCCCTGCTCCGCAGCCCTGAGGAAGGGCAGCGCCCACAGCGCCCACAGCGCCGGGCCCGCCGCGTGCCGAGCAGCAGCTGCCCGGGGCCGGCGAGCCCGAGCCGTCAGCAGCGAACGACACGTCCAGAGCGCCGGTGCCTCCGCGGCCACGGAACGGGCTCCTCGTAGGGGGGAAAGCAGCGCCGGGAGAAGTTGCGGCGCAGGGTGCAGAGGGAAGGAGCGCGGCCCCGTCGCTCGCACCGCCCCCGCTCCCGGCGCAGCCCCAGGGCCGCTCCCGGCGCCGCCGGACAGCGGGGCCCAGCGGGGGCCAAGGTCAGGCAGGGCCCGGCCCGCGGCACTCACCGAGAGGACGCTCATGCGGAGCGGCGCCTCCAGCACACACGCCATCTTGGCGGAGCGCTCCGGCACCGGCGGCGCCTCAGGCCGGCGGGCGCGGGCTCATGGCGGGCGCGCGGCGGGCGGGGGCCGGGGGTAACGGGGCGGGCCCAGCGAACCGGCCGGCGCCGAACCCCCGCTGCCGCCCCACCGCGCCTGCGCCGCCGCACGCCACCCGCGTGCGGGACGGTGGCCGCTGTGCGCACGCGCGGGGCAGGGCGCGGCCACCGCGGGCCGCGGAGGGTGACGGCCCGAGCCGAGCCGAGCCGAGCCGGAAACCGAGTGGAAACGAGCGCAGCGGAGACGAGTCTGAGCCGGAGACCGCGTGGAAACGAGCCCGACTCGAGCCCAGCCCGAGCAGATCCGAACCTAACCCGAAAGAGCCCGAGCCGAACACGAGCCCGAACCGAAACGAGCCCGAGCCGAACACGAGCCCGAGCCCGCCCTTTCCCCTCAGCCTCGCTGCGCAGATTCGGTTTGGGTTCTTTTAGTTTGTCATTGCTTTTGTTGCCAGCATTAATTTGTTTGGTTTTGAATTTGTTCTTCACAGAAAACACCGCAAACAACTCAGAACTTCACCAAGATGTGCTACAGGGTCTATAAATCTGCTATTTTTTTATTAGCCCTACTGTACTACACAGCCTGAGGCCTGGGGCCACTGACTGTACCCACCCTGAAGTCAGAACTAAACGGAAGGAGGATGGTAAAACCACGAAGAGATAGCAGATACATCACAGCTCGGGTTCACATCTCTCAACCTATTCCCTTCCCAGGAAAACAGAGGCTTGGCAGCTGCTAGAGACTGCACAGGATAACACGACTACAATAAACATAGCTTAGGATGCAGCCACAAGGTGACCTTAATAGATTTAATTCAAAATACTCCATTATAAAACAAGGCTATACCTCTTTGCTGTTTTTCACTGAACAGACTGATGACATGCTTTCAAAAAACCTGTGTGCTGGCCTGGGATGAAACTTTTCTCAAGCACTAATAACAGCAAAACCAGTTTTAGACTAAGTACACTCACTGAAAAAAACTGCAATACAAGGGTTGTACAGAGAAAGGTTTTACAGAGTTTTCTCATCAACATTTCAAAAGTTTTCAGAGACACTAAATCTTTTTAAAGGAGACTGGAGACTGAGTCTTAAAAGCCAAGTTAAATTTATCAGCATTCCCTAGAGTTTTCCTTTTTGAAGTATCTGGCCTTTACTAGAAAAGCTCAGCACTTCTACTGAATCCTCCTTGCAGCAGCGAATCCTGCCGTCAGAGAAAATCCATAATGGATGAAAGCAAGGTAGGGGAGGACACTGCAAACTGCAGAGGGTGTGAACAACTGCAAGGAAGGGCACGGCAACTCTAGAGGTCAGACATGATTCACACTCAAAAAACATTTATGTTCACTGTATTTATCAGCGGCACTCTGCTCAGTGGACACTGAAATACTTTACAAAAAATCTTTAAAGATTCAAAAATCAGTATTGTATATTGAGTCGGAGTCTCCTGCCTTCTAGAAACACATTCATCAGAAGGGGGGAGGCATGGTACAACATAGAAGTTTATTTTAAAAACAAAAGGAATCAGACTGAAAGTGAATTACATGCAAGATACATTTTCTATTTCTGTGCAGACACCCTGAGAGCTCAATGCCATGTTAAGGTTCCCTGGGAGGCTTTTCAAGTCCATAACAGAATTTATATTTAAAATATTTTATTTCCATTATAGTGTTCAGATCATGAGGTATGATTAAAAATTTACCACTGCAGACCCAGGACCCTTAAAGAGACTCATCTGCTTCAATAATTTACCTGACAGTTCACAGCCATTTTACATAGCCTGAGTGTCACACCCGGGTTACTCCCAGTTTCTCCTTATGCCTCAGCACAGCTCTTTGGTGGCTGTTCTGACAGATGAGCTGTTAATTGAATTGCTGAGAGCATTAATGATGCCCTTTTCTAGCCCTTGAATACTTAACATGTTTGGTTTTTGTAGTGAACTGCTTGACAGGAGAGGAAGCAAGATGAACTCCAGGCCATGGAAGTGATTTAAGACACATTAATTCCCGATCCTGAAACGCAACTCACAGATGTATTTCACTCACTGCTCCCTGTCCAGTTCCCTGTACCTGTCAGGACAATTTCTCCTTCTCAGTGTCTGGCCTTGGAGGGGGGAAAGCACAGGAGCTGCTTCTGCTCTCGGGTAGCAGGGCCATGAGGAATTCCATCTAAGAATTCCATCTGTCAGGAAGGCTGATGTGTCTAATGATATATGCTTGAAAACACTGTCATTTTCATGAATTCACTCAATTTTATCCTCGTGGCCTCTTAGGCCAAAGGAGTGCCATTTACTAATAATTATGGGCAAAAAAATTTAAAAAGAAAACTTCCAAGAGGGTCACTATTCTGGCAGTTCCTGCTTCCTTCAGCTGAAGATTACAGAAATGCTTTGGAAGATTCCCAAAACCAGTTTTAAAAGTTCAGCAAGTTACAGCTACTGAAATGACAAGTGAGAAGTGACTCTAATGATAACGGGAGCTGTTACTGTCCCAGACAGCTTACACACCCACCACCTTGTGTGAACACAAACCACAACCCTAATTAGTCACAGCTGAGACAGTCCTGGTGTCCACATTTTGGGAGCTGTCCTTCCTAACTGCTTCCATTTTAAGACATCGTTCTCAAGTTTTAAGAAACAGAACAAAAGAGAGTTTTTAAGAACAGAGATGCACCCTTTCATGGTCCCCATAAAACCGTCATCCTCCAAATCAAAAGACTTGGTTTGCTATCAGAACTGTAATTAAAAGCCAATCCTGGACAATACATATTGGTTTTTTTATGACCAAAAAGTTTTTCTGTGGCATGACTATCACCAGAAACAAAAATCTTCATTCTTCTGTTGCTGTTTTGTTATCATGGGAATTCTATTTTCAGATTTCATTCACAGGGTTGTTGCATATGCTACTTTGTATTAATAGTTCAGTATAAAACAAGATAAAAGCAGTAAAATAAAATCATTCAGTCTTGTAAGTCAGACATCCTCTCACTTGGACTCAGGGTACAGTTTAAGAGCTCTTGTTAAACAAGCATGGTGAATCTTTTTCAGCTGAAGATATGGAGTGTACACCATACACCAAGAACTGAAACAAAATCAAGGATATACAAACTTTACATCCTTTGACAAAGTACTTTGTCGGAAAAGTCTCAGCTTCTTTCTTTGACTATTCTGTGTAAGTCACCTTCCCTGTGAGAAGTACACCCAGCCTCTGAGCTGAGGAAAGTAACATGACTGAGATCATGTAACATTAAAAGCACATGTAGTCCAGTACAACCCTCACCACCTTCCCACAGAAAGGCTGGGAGAGAACTCAGTTCCACACCGTGTTAATCAGTTTTATCTTCATCCTCTGCAGCATAGATGGCTTGGTTCCTTCTCTTGATTTTTTTAACGCCGCTGTTGCCGTTCTCATCAGCACCAATGCGCTTTAAGGCCCTCTCAGTGGGGCTCCTTTCCTCCCCCTGCCTGCTCCCCCCAGACCTCTCCAGCTCCTCGTTGTTGGAGTCCGTGGCATCGTCCGACGACACCGCCATGGAGTCGGGCATGACCCGGATGTCGGAGAAGCTCGCGGAGAACTCAGGAGGGTGGTCAGGGGAGGGATCTACAGAACATGTACTCAAGTCTTCATCACCACCTTCTTCATCCAGCATTATTTCATCTGGGTTAAAGGATGAGAGGCCAGAATTATCTGTATTGTATTCACTGGGTTCCTCTGCTGACCCAGTACTGTCCATCTCCTCTTCCTCCTCCTCTTCACATTCACCTCGTCCTGAGCTCTCTTCTTTAGCCTGCTGGATCCTGTCATTGATGTCAGTGAGGCCAAACTGGGCACAGAATTCAGTGGTCTGTGGATTGATGGTATGAACAGGCTCCATGTTCTTTTGGGGCTTGCTGGGATCATAACAAGCAGCTGTCAATGTGAAGTTGCAAGGAATTTTGAGGTCATGGTTCAGCTCTTCTAGCACCTCTTTAATGGCTTCTTCTGTCACACTGTAATCCCACCTAAACAAGTGCATCAAGTTTAAATAAGTGCAGCAACTCAAAAGGTACTGCCTGTTCCCACCAGAGTGTGCAACCTTCACAGATGGATTATAAATACATCTTACAACAGACACTTTATTCCCCAAGTGCTTTTTCAGGACCATTTTCATTTTCTTTTTGTCAGTACTGAGACACCCTTCTCCCCAACAGGGATTAGTGTATTATGTCAACCCATGCCCATAACCCAGCCTGATTTTCAGCTTCACGGTATAGTTTCTGTCCCTCAAATGCTGATATCTAAGTTTGCAAAATAAAACTAACTGCCCAGGTAGAACAGTAAAGAAGCTGTATGCTTTAGACTACATCTTTTTTCATCCCCTTTTCTTTCCAAGGCATCTAGCAAGTCCTACAGGCATTACAGTCTGCAGAACAGGAACAACTCCAATACACCTTTACTTGAAGTCCAGAAAAACAAACTAACATTTCTATTTTGCAGACAACGTACTTGGCATGGAGGCCATTATTTTCAGGCATATTCCAGGAGTTCTGGGTCACATTAACAAGACTGTTGGTGGCCTTGAGGATTGCAATCCACTCAGCATCGTACTCCAGCGAGTCACCTGCATTGGGATCATGCTCCACATCTATTATCTACTTACAAACACACAGAAAACAGATGAAGTGAGTTATTTCTCTTGACACCAGAATCTGATTAAAGTTTCAAATGTTACTTTCACTGTACAGAGTTTTAATGAAGTTTAAAGTACACTGAGCTAGTGGTCTCAACCAAACAAGTCCTCTCAAGCCAGCCCCCCATGAAGGGCTAACAAAGGCCAATCAGTAACAGTAAAAAAGGCATTTCTAAATTTCAGCTTACAGCAATTAAAAAACAGAACACACTCCCTCCCTTATTGTCAGCAACTGGACAGTGATGCAACTTAGACATAGAATTTGCCTGTTTCTAAATTCATGCTGCCTTCTGTTAGAGGACAGGATTTTTTCCTTTTTTTAAAATTTAGTTTCTCTTAGGGAATTTTTCTCCCATTGTTGCCTAAGAGACTGGAACAACAGAGAAAAAAGATGTGACTAGGACAAGGGAGAGGATGCAGTTTGC